TGGTAATATAGTTTGATCATTTGTCATACGTTCTGTTTTAGGTACTTCTTATCTACTAAACTATTTCTATTTAATTTGCACACATTAAGGTTCACTCTATGATAGAAAGTTCTATATGGTTTTGATAAGTGCATAACATCATGCCTTTTCATTACTGTTTTATACAGAGTACTTTCACCATCTTAAAAAAAAAAAAATGCCCTTTGCTCCATTTACTCATCCCATCACCCCTGAACCAGCCCTTGGCAATCACTGACTTGCTTGTCTGTAGATTTTCTCTTTTCAAAAAGTAACAGAAATAGAAACATATAGTATGAAATCTATTCTGAGTAACTTCTTTCAATGCATATAGGAATCATTCATGTGTTTATATGATTTATAATTCATTCTTTTTTTATCACTGTTTAAATCACTGAGCAGTACTCCATTATTTGGATTTCACAGTTGGTTTATACAGTCATTTATTAAAGGACACCTATGTTTCTAGTTTTCAATTATTATTAATAAGACTACCATAAATATTTATAAAGAGGTTTATGTTTGGACATGAATTTTTTTGTTTGACACATAATAATTGTAACTAAGTTCAAATGAGTTAGATAAATGCCTAGGAACTCAATTGCTTCATCATTTGAGCTTTCTCTCTGTAAGAAATTGCCATTTTTAAAGTGACTACACCATTCTACATTCTCACTATCAATAAATGAGGGTTCCTATTGCTCCAGATCCTTATAAGCATTTGACATTGTTTCTATTCTTAATTTTTTGTTGTTATTGTAGTCATTTTGATGTGTGTGGTGGTATCTTATTTTACTTGTGGATCTATTTTGAATATAAGGTTGTAAGTTTTGTGAAAGTTGCCCAATCTTCATTATCCTCATCATCCAGTTAAAAAACAGGATTGTAATAATTTTTTTATATTTCTTAAACACTCCTAAAATAACCCATTCATTATGAAGATGTGAATTTGGTGTCAACATATCTTATATACAAACAGAGATATGATAAATAGTGGTATAAAGGTGTATTAAGAATTGTATGCAAAAAATAAGAGAGCTCATTATAATGGCATAATTTGGTGTGAACATACTTTATATACAGAGTTACAAAAAATTGTGCTGTGAATGGATAATTATGAATGTAATGCACTCCACTATTGTCATGTATGTAAGAAATAAATTTTAAAAATAAAGAAAAAAATCCCATTCATTTAAAATCTGAATAAATAATGCACCCTGGTACATGCCTGTAATCCCAGTGGTTTGAGATGCTGAGGCAAGGGGATCGAAGTTCAAAGCCAGCCTCAGCAACTCAGTGAGTCCCTAAATAACTCAGTGAGATCTTGTCTTTAAATAAAATTTTAAAAAGGTGGGCAATGGGAATGTGGCTCAGTAGTTGAGTGCCCCTGGGTTTAATCCAGGGTATAAAAGCAAGCAAATAAGAAACTGAATAAATAAAGGAAACATAAGTAAACTCTAAGTTTTCTCATATGTCTTCAATCAAATTTTCTGATTCAAACAGCAGCAACCACATAAAATGTGCTCATGACATAGAGTTTTCTTACCCTCATTTCTGTAATAGCCATCCACTGACTTGGGTGCCAAATAAGCCCACAGTGTGATATTCACAACTTAAAGCAGTGATTTAAAAAATCAAAAAATAAAATATTAAATTATTAAACAGTGAAGTAAATATTAAATATAAGTATTGACCAAGTAATGAGAGCAGAATAGGACCTCTACTTCCAGAATAATATAATAAAATAAAAGAATAAAGATCAGTTTTCATTCCTGAAAACTGATTCTTTCACATTGAATAGACTTTAATTTCACAGATGTATACAGAAGAGCTGAAATTAATCTGTTTAAAAAATAACTGATGTATTTTCTCCATGTTAAATGCAGGTATGATAACTAAAGATTAGATTCCATGTAATAATTATAAATTTCCTTTGTTTTCCTCTTATCTTTCTGCTTTGCTTATTATGTTTGAAATACCACTTACCTCAAATCAATCTAATTATTGCTATCTTTAACAGTCTTGTTCACGCCCTGGAAGAATAACAACTGGGTAGCCACATGAGCTGGGAACCTGGCAATTACAGACCCCACTTCAGGCTGAGTCTGCTTCTCTTTCTACAACCACAATATAATGCCTCTCTTGGAGGGAGTTTATTTGGGAAAATAGTGTTGGGCCAGTAAAAGAGAGAGAGAAAAAAATAGGACTGTTACTTAGATTATTACCTTTCCCTTTATGTAGCATTTCAGATTTATAAACAGAAATACTGGACAGTAGTGAAAGTGAAACAAAATATTGCATGAACATAGAAATAAAACCAAACAAACAAAATCTATTGACTGTTTTTGAAGTTTAAACTGGGCATTTTTAATTTCATCTCAAAACCCTACTTCTATCCCCGTCATCATATACTTTATGAGTTTAAATGTAGAATGACATTGAGAAATGAGAGAGAAATAGAAAAAAATCATCAGATAGTAATACTGTGCAGAAGGAAAAAAACCTGAGATAGGACAAAATATCCATAGACTCCTTTATTTAATTTTTTAAGTAACCATAATGTTGATGAACTATAATTTTCATTTAACTTTCAATGTCTTTGTAATTACACACCTTTTTTACGTCACCACAGATCTGTCTACCAACATTTTGTCTTTCACATCTCTTATTTACTTTATCCATTTTTTATAAGCACTGTCTTCAGCTTATAAAATTAATACAATACATTCATAATTATTTACTGTGTTACTTTGCAGTTATTTAATTTCTTGAAAACTAATCCTTTCAAGGATCAGAGTTAAAAGATGGAAGAAGCTTTTACCTATCTTTTAAAGCATTTAGATATATTCATGCATGTTTTAGATGAGACAACATATACACAATTTGTGAATGAAAGGTTAAATTTATCTCTGTATTTAAAGAAATTCTATTAGGTTTCAAACAAGATTTTTTTTTTTAAGAGAGAGTGTGTGTGTGGGGAGAGAGAGAGAGAGAGAGAGAGAGAGAGAGAGAGAGAGAGAGA